CAAATGGCCAACGCCGACAACCGTCCGCCAAATACGCCAGTTCCTGGGCATGGCATCATGGTACCGATGCTGCATCGCGGGGTTTTCAAAAATAGCGATACCACTGACAAATCTAACACGAAAACAAGAAAGATGGGAATGCGGAGACGAGGAAGATAAAGCGTTCCAGACACTAAAACAGACATTAATTACCGCACCAATATTAGCCTGCCCGGACTTTAACCAAGAATTTACCCTACAAACAGACGCCAGCACGCACGGACTAGGAGCGGTACTCACGCAGGTACTCGAGGGAGGAGAGCGCGTGATAGCATACGCAAGTCGGACGCTCAATAATGCCGAAAAAAATTACAGCGCAACAGAACTAGAATGCCCGGCAGTAGTATGGGGAATTAGGAAAATGCGCTGTTATATAGAAGGATACAAATTCACCGTATTAACCGACCACCAATCACTACGATGGCTAGAAAAGCTAGAGTCGCCATCAGGACGATTAGGCAGGTAGAAGTTTTAGTTACAATACACATTCGAAATACGCTACCGAAAAGGAAGCATGAATATAGTAGCCGACGCACTATCCAGACAACCTGTAATCGCCGCATTACGAGCAGACACGAAGTGCCAATGGTACAAACAAAAAGAAAACCAAGTTGCAGAGCAACCTCAGCTATTACCGGACTACCAAATAAGGGACGGCAACTTATACAGACATATCCTCCACAGTCTCGATTTCAAAGAGCTATCAAGCCAGGAGCAATGAAAAAGATGCATACCGCACGAGCAACGACCGGAAATACTGCGGACATACCACGACGACCCAGCAGCGGGTCATCTCGGGATCGCGAAAACAATATGCCGAGTAGCTCGCCTTTACTATTGGCCAGGAATGTTTAGAGACATCAGCCAATATGTAAAAAGATGTAAAAATTGCATGGCCCACAAGGCATCTCAAATGCAGCCACCGGGAAAGCTGCACGCCACGGCTGTACAAAAACCATGGGAACAGGTCTCACTGGACCTTATAGGACCGCTACCAAGATCCAAAAAGGGATACACATGGATCCTCACTATGCAGGACAGATTCTCAAAATGGATCGAAATAAAGCCGCTACGTCAAGCAACAGCTAGCGCA